CAGCGCTCGCCCAAACAGTCTGTTGAGGCTACACGGTGGATCTTTGCGGTGCAGCCGCGGTCAACGCCGCCGTGACGTCGACGGCTGCCGCTCGCAGAGGGGCCGGAGCGGAGGCCGCTGCATCGCACTCACACCTCGGGCTTTGCTCATTTGTTCTGTCCTAATTCTTCCCTTTCCTCGAGCTTCTCGGTGGAATTAGATGGGGCGGAGAGGGGAGGGGATGGGGGGGACGGGAACGTTTTCTCCGCAGCAGCGCACGCCGCAGAAACTAAATAATTGACGCTGCTTTTTTGTATTCAATTATTAAATCGCTCAAAAGCTATTTTTTTTTCTCTAAACATCGATGCCCGTTTCACGTTTGTCTCAAATTGTGAGAAATGGCCGGGGCACGTTGACGCGCGTGGAGACGCAGCGCATCGCGAGCCCGGGGCACGTACGTGCGTCTGTGCGTGTGTCTGTACGTGTGTCTGAATGTCGTTATGTCTCTATGCCTATGTGTCTGTATGTCTGTGTGCAGGTCTGTATGTATTTATCTATGCATGTCTGTATGTATGTATGCATGTATGTACGTATGTGTGCATGCCTGTATGTATGTACGTATGTGTACATGCCTGTATGCATGTCTGTATGTATGTCTGTCTGTATGTATGCATGTCTCTATGTCTGTTTGTATGTGTGCATGCCTGTATGCATGTCTGTACGTATGTGTGCATGCCTGTATGCATGTCTGTATGTATGTCTGTCTGTCTGTATGTGTGTCTATGTATGTATGTATACTGAACTTAATTCGCACCGTACGTGACTAACCGTGCAAATCGTAGGTAGGGAGGGGTAAGGACAACAAACTAAAACACAAGAAGAATATTTACAGAAATTCGTTTTCAATCCGGAATGATTTCAGAGTGATTCCAGCGACAGCCTCGACGCCGCAGGAATAAGGCGGGTCGCAGGCATCGCGGTGACAGTCTCGTTCAGCTCACCAGTCACACACACACAGCCTCTTTCAGCTCACCAGTCACGCACACACAGCCTCGTTCAGCTCACCAGTCACACACACACAGCCTCGTTCAGCTCACGAGTCACACACACACACAGCCTCGTTCAGCTCACCAGTCACACACACACACAGCCTCGTTCAGCTCACCAGTCACACACACACAGTCTCGTTCAGCTCACCAGTCACACACACACACACAGTCTCGTTCAGCTCACCAGTCACACACACACACAGCCTCGTTCAGCTCACCAGTCACACACACACAGCCTCGTTCAGCTCACCAGTCACACACACACACACACAGCCTCACTCAGCTCACCAGTCACATACACACACAGCCCCACTCAGCTTACCAGTCACACACACACACAGCCTGACTCAGCTTACCAGTCACACACACACACAGCCTCGTTCAGCTCACCAGTCACACACACACAGCCCCACTCAGCTCACCAGTCACACACACACAGCCTCACTCAGCTTACCAATCACACACACAGCCTCACTCAGCTTACCAGTCACACACACACACACAGCCTCACTCAGCTCACCAGTCACACACACGTCACACACACACATACACGTCACACACACACACGTCACACACACACACGTCACACACGTCACACACACACGTCACACACACACACCAGGCGAGTCTCCTAGCTTGGCCCAGCTCTGACATGTTGCTCGCAGACGTCGTCCGTCCCTCCGTGGCCTCGCAATCAGCGGTGGCCCACCACCCCCCCACCACCACCCCCCCCCACCACCACCACCCCCCCACCACCACCCCCACCCCCCTCACCACCACCACCATCCCCCACCACCACCACCCCCCACCATCACAACCCCCCACCACCACCCCCCCACCACCACCACCCCCCACCACCACCACCACCCCTACCACGATCGCCACCCCCCCCACCACCCCCCCCCACCACCACCCCCACCCCCCTCACCACCACCACCACCCCCCACCATCACCACCCCCCACCACCACAACCCCCCACCACCACCACCCCCCCACCACCACCACCCCCCACCACCACCACCACCCCCACTACCACCCCCACCCCACCCTCACCACCCTCCACCACCACCCCCCCCCACCACCACCACCCCCCCACCACCACCTCCCCACCACCTCCACCCCCCCACCACCACCACCCCCGAAAGGCTCCGCGATTGTCGCCGGATGATGCTTGAAGCCGCGACTCTCAATTCAGCCGAATCGGACTTCCAACATTGACGATGTTTGAAAGATCAGGAATGTTTTTATATTTCTAAAATGTGTAATACGTCTCGGCAGGACACCAAGCTGTGAGTGAGCCGACTTGGCTACATCGCTGCCTCTGCCGGGGCAGCTGCTAAAATCTCCTACGAGGTGGCCCGCACATTCGGCACGAGATACAACAACAACAACATCCATCGCCTTGGTGGGATGTTGACCGGTAAAAATTGAAATTTCTACATCGTGCACAGTCCATTTACAGTACAGTCGTGAAAAATTAATGACGCGTATTTAATGGAACCGGCCAAACATTCCCAAATGTAGCAGGACCCTCGCTGTCAAGAGGCACGAGACTCAATGAAGCTCCCTTGTCGATCAAGGAGATGAGCGCCTTGTCAATTTCACCTCTCAAATCTAACCCCGTCTCCATTAATAACGCCTCGCACGAATTCAACATCAGGGCGTGCAATTCAAAACAGCCGCACGTGCGCTCCTCCTGACGGTGACGGTGAATGGCTCACAGTGGCAACGATTCGCCCCCCCCCCCTATAGTTTAATCTCACCCCCCCCCACCCTCCACGCAAAGCGGCACAAGTTGAAGCAGCGTGTTGTCATTGCGACGTTGGGTGATTGTCGGATGTGGCGGCGATGTTACGCGAGGTGCGTTTTTGGGATGTGGCGCTCCACCGGGCTGTCGATGCGATCGTCCGTTGTGATTTGAGATATTCCGTGATGTGGGATATGATGATGATGGTGGTGATTGTGTGTGACGGTGAGATGTGACATGAGGTGCGATTTTATGTGCGATTTGAGAGGCGATGTTTTTTGCTCTGATTTTGATATACGATGTTCTGTGAGGTAGGATTACAGCTGGGGCGTGCGTGTGTGTGAGAGTGCGTGTGAGAGAGTGTGAGAGTGTGTGTGAGTGTGTGAGTGTGTGTGTGAGAGTGTGTGTGAGAGGGGCTGTGAGAGTGTGTGAGAGTGTGTGCGTGTGTGTGAGAGTGTGTGTGAGAGTGTGTGAGAGTGTGTGCGTGTGTGTGAGAGTGTGTGTGTGAGAGTGTGTGTGAGAGTGTGTGTGAGAGTGTGTGAGAGTGTGTGCGTGTGTGTGAGAGTGTGTGAGAGTGTGCGTGTGAGAGTGTGTGTGTGTGTGAGAGTGTGTGAGAGTGTGTGAGAGAGTGTGTGTGTGAGAGTGTGTGAGAGTGTGTGCGTGTGTGTGTGAGAGTGTGCGTGTGTGTGAGAGTGTGTGCGTGCGTGTGTGTGTGTGCGTGTGTGTAAGAGTCCGTGCGTGTGTGTGAGAGAGCGTGCGTATGTGTGAGGGTGTGTGTGTGAGAGTGTGTGCGTGTATGTGTGCGTGAAAGTGTGTGCGTGTCTGTGAGAGTGTGTGCGTGTGTGTGAGTGTGTGTGAGAGTGCGTGTGTGTGAGAGTGTGTGAGAGTGTGTGTGTGTGAGAGTGTGTGTGAGAGTTTGTGAGAGTGTGTGCGTGTGTGTGAGAGTGTGTGTGTGTGAGTGTGTGTGAGAGTGAGAGTGTATGCGTGTGTGTGAGAGCGCGTGTGTGTGTGTGCGTGTGTGTGAGAGTGTGTGAGTGTTTGTGTGAGAGTGTGTGCGTGAGAGTGTGTGTGTGAGAGTGTGTGCGTGAGAGTGTGTGTGTGAAAGTGTGTGCGTGTGTGTGAGTGTGTGTGAGAGTGTGTGTGTGAGAGTGTGTGCGTGTGTGTGTGTGAGAGTGTGTGCGTGTGTGAGTGTGTGAGAGTGTGTGTGTGAGAGTGTGTGCGTGTGTGTGTGTGAGAGAGTGTGTGAGAGTGTGTGCGTGTGTGCGAGAGTGTGCGAGAGTGTGTGAGAGTGCGTGTGTGTGTGAGTGTGTGTGTGAGAGTGTGTGAGAGTGTGTGTGTGAGAGTGTGTGCGTGAGAGTATGTGTGTGAAAGTGTGTGCGTGTGTGTGTGAGAGAGTGTGTGAGAGTGCGTGTGTGTGTGAGTGTGTGTGTGAGAGTGTGTGTGAGAGTGTGTGAGAGTGTGTGAGAGTGTGTGTGTGTGTGAGTGCGTGTGAGAGAGTGTGTGAGAGTGTGTGCGTGTGTGCGAGAGTGTGCGAGAGTGTGTGAGAGTGCGTGTGTGTGTGTGTGAGTGTGTGTGTGAGAGTGTGTGAGAGTGTGTGCGTCTGAGAGTGTGTGCGTGTGTGTGTGTGAGAGAGTGTGTGAGAGTGCGTGTGTGTGTGTTTGAGAGTGTGTGAGAGTGTGTGCGTGTGTGTGTGTGAGAGAGTGTGTGAGAGTGCGTGTGTATGTGAGTGTGTGTGTGAGAGTGTGTGAGAGTGTGTGTGTGAGAGTGTGTGCGTGTGTGTGTGTGAGAGTGTGTGCGTGTGTGTGAGTGTGTGAGTGTGAAAGTGTGTGCGTGTATGTGTGAGAGAGTGTGTGAGAGTGTGTGTGTGTGCGAGAGTGTGTGAGAGTGCGTGTGTATGTGAGTGTGTGTGTGAGAGTGTGTGAGAGTGTGTGTGTGAGAGTGTGTGCGTGTGTGTGTGTGACAGTGTGCGCGTGTGTGTGAGAGTGTGTGCGTGTGTGTGAGAGAGTGTGTGAGAGTGCGTGTGTGTGTGTGAGAGTGTGTGCGTGTGTGTGAGTGTGAGAGTGTGTGCGTGTGTGTGAGAGAGTGTGTGTGAGTGTGTGTGTGAGAGTGTGTGCGTGTGTGCGAGTGTGAGAGTGTGTGCGTGTGTGTGTGAGAGAGTGTGTGAGAGTGCGTGTGTGTGTGAGTGTGTGTGTGAGAGTGTGTGAGAGTGTGTGCGTGCTTCTCACCGAGACACGAGGATGAGAATCGAGCACCAGCAGCACCACCAGCACCAGCAGCGTCTCCTGCCACTCTCCTGCTCCGTCTCGTCCCCCGCGTGCCTTTTCACATCTCCAGCAGAGGCGGAGCTCCACAGACAGACGATACCAAGTCGCCAGGGGGGGGGGGGAGGAGGTGTTTTACATCAGAAACACACAACCCAGCCTCGACATTATCACGCCAGTCACAATTATTCACCTGGAACATCCCCGGAGATGGGACATCTCGTTTGCAAAGGGTATCCCAGGGTTGTCGATTGACACGCAAACCATACGCACAAAGACACACACATTTGCAAAAACAAAGACCCCCCGTATAGCCTTAACGGACTGTTGGGGCAAGTGCTGTTAGCGAGCACCTATGAAGGCCGGCACGGCACACGAAGGGGTGGGTGGCCAACACCACGCCCGGCCGCCTTTGTCTCCCCAGTAGCCATGATTACACACTGCACCAGGTATTCATTTAAGGCAGAGTCAACCAAAGGGAGGCCCATGACCGGTTCAGATAATCGTCACCGGTGTTGCCCGTGAGCGGGAATCGAACTCGGGTCACCGGGTTCGTAGCGCAGCGCAGCGCTAACCGCTACACCACCGCTCCCCGTCGATTTACACACAACACAAACATAACGGCCACATAAAGACAAAGACACATGCACACACGAACACATATACACACATCCATATATATACTGTACACACACGTAGGAATCAGGTAATACAAAGATCCCCCGTGTAGCCTGTAACAGACTGCCGGGACAAGTGATGTGAGCGAGCAGCAGCTGTGAAGGCCGGCACGGCCCACGTGGACAGCTCCACCATCGCTCCCAACACACAGACACCCGTGTTACACACACACAGACACCCGTGTTACACACACACACACAGACACTCGTGTTACACACACACACACACGTGTTACACACACACACAGACACACGTGTTACACACACACACACCCGTGTTACACACACGCAGACACACGTGTTACACACACAGACACACGTGTTACACACACACAGACACCCGTGTACACACACACACCTGTGTTACACACACACACAGACACACGTGTTACACACACACACACAGACACACGTGTACACACAGACACCTGTGTTACACACACACACAGACACACGTGTTACACACACACACAGACACACGTTTTACACACACACACACACGTGTTACACACACACACAGACACACGTGTTACACACACACACAGACACACACACACAGACACACGTGTTACACACACACACACACACGTGTTACACACACACACAGACACCCGTGTTACACACACACACACAGACACACGTGTTACACACACACACAGACACACGTGTTACACACACACACACAGACACACGTGTTACACACACACAGACACACGTGTTACACACACACACACAGACACACGTGTTACACACACAGACACCCGTGTTACACACACACACAGACACCCGTGTTACACACACACACACACACAGACACACGTGTTACACACACACACAGACACCCGTGTTACACACACACACACAGACACGTGTTACACACACACACACACACGTGTTACACACACACACACACGTGTTACACACACACTCACACGTGTTACACACACACGCGTGTTACACACACACACACGTGTTACACACACATACAGACACACGTGTTACACACACACACACAGACACACGTGTTACACACACACACACAGACACACGTGTTACACACACACACACAGACACACGTGTTACACACACACACACAGACACGTGTTACACACACACACACACACAGAGACACACGTGTTACACACACACACAGACACACGTGTTACACACACACACAGACACCCGTGTTACACACACACAGACACACGTGTACACACACACAGACACCCGTGTTACACACACACAGACACACGTGTTACACACACACACGTGTTACACACACAGAGACACACGTGTTACACAGACACACGTGTTACACACACAGACACACGTGTTACACACACACTCACACACGTGTTACACACACACACAGACACACGTGTACACACACACCCGTGTTACACACACACACCCGTGTTACACACACGTGTACACACACACACACACGTATGAATTAAGCAATACACACGTACACACACATGCAACAGTGTGGGTTTATAATAAAAGCGAGCGTGACTCGCAGTGAAAGGCGCACACGAGCGCGTGCAGCAGGCTTTAGCCACCAATATCATTCACATAATAAAGGTTGTTTGGGTTAGATCGCGTAAGTGTGAATGTGTCGTAACCCTTCACCACCCGACACAGCCAGCAAGGGCTGTCGCGTAAACAACGCGTGCCAATGAGTGACGACTCCAGCCCGCCCGTGTGTTGGAAAGGCAATCCACAACATTTACAATTTGAGTCGTTCGTCGTTTCGCTGGTAATTAATTACATCCAGCATCATCGGGCGATTTGTAAAGAATCGTGAAGCAATCCGCCCGCTTCCGATGTTACACAGAGCAAGGGGGGGGGGGCAAACAATGACCCCGGAGGGACCCCCCCCCCTCGTGTCACGGACCACGAGCGGCTGGCGTGGGGGGGGGGCTGCAGCGGCAAATCGCGTGCGCCGCTCGAGTGATATGCTGGGCTACGTACGGTGCGAAAGAAGTTCAACGCACTGCACATAATGGGAATACATTATAAGCAGCCGTGTGTTCACCGTCTGTAGCTCGCACCCCCCCCCGTGATCATCAGCCGCACGGCACATTCTCGGCGGAGGAGACGATTTGCCTGATGATTTGTTTTACTTAAATTCTCCACAGCGACGCTAATAATTGCCTGTTGTCTATTGGTGTATATAGGTTCGCATCCAATTAGGACCTGTAGCACAGAGAGAGGGCCCTTGCCTATTAACATGTGGCAGCAGTTCACGAGCAATGGTTGAAGCAAGCGAGGCTCTGCTGAGATGACGCTCTCCCAGAAGGGAGGCTGCGTGGCTGATGGGATGTGTCAAACAACAACTTGTTTAACCCCCTCGCTCTCTCTCCTCACCCCCTCGCCACTCTCCTCACTGTGTGGCTGGTGATGTAGTCACTGTGTGAGTGGTGATGTAGTCACTAGGAGATGTTAACTACCTCGCTTGGTATACAGGAGGTCGTGGGTTCGATCCCGACCCTGACGCCTGCTGCTGTATATTTGGAGTTTGCGTGTCTCTCTCTCTCCCCGTGGTCATATGGATTTCTCTCCAGGTCCTTCCGTTTTTTTTCCTCCACGTTTCAAAACACGCTGTTTTTGAGTATTTGGCTGCTAAAAAATGTCCACGCAATAATCAACGTCACGCGTTTCGATTATTTGTCTGATGCTGCTGCTGCAGATTCCCACGTGATGATGATGACGACGATGAGCCAGTTGGCTGAGCTGTCATTTGTCAGCCAGGTCGCTTCGCAAAAAACAGCTGTGGAGCTCAGCCGGCCTTACCTGGTAAAAACTAAAATAGTGAAGAGTGTTATATTTAGCAGATACAGTACATCGCACGTGTTTTATATTAATGTGACGTTAGGGAACCACCAGGGTCCCTTCTCCACGGGAAGTTTCTACACCCACCTCTGTCTGTCACGCACACGGCGGGGGAGGGGGGGTGAGGCTCGCACTCTCTCACCCGCCCTGTGAGCCATTAGCAGCAGAAGCCAGCGCAGTGGGGGGTGGAGGCGCCCCCCCCGCCTCTGGTGCAGCAATGTCTGAGCAGCACACAGCAGTAGCACACACATCACTGGTGCAGCAGCAGCAGCAACAATCAGGCTAAAGCTTCTTTACACACTCGGTACACTCGGAAGTGTTTTACACCTCCCCCTTCCCCCCGCAGTAATAACATCAGCTGCCAACAGCAGTAGACACACATCGCCCCCTGGATTTCACTGTGACGCCGCCTCTCAGTTTGAATTCATGTAATAAATATAGGGGGGGTCTCTTTCAACTTTCGCCGCCAAAGTTTAAATTCCTGCCTTTGCCGAGCTGAGGATTTAATCATGAAAAATATATAAGAAGAAGAGGCTTTACGCCTTCCGGCAATACAGCAGGAGGTGTTAAGATGTTCAAACACCAAATAGGTACCTATTTCAAGGCATCAAGTCTGCATTAACCACACATGCTTGTGGCAAAACATGCAAATAAGCATGCTCTGATAACACTGTGTAACACATTTTTATTTATTTTTTGTTCCTGGATAGTATTATTTCCTAATTGCTTATGCCTCAAAGGTACAGAAAATCGCTATTATTCCCCCACAAATTTTGCTTTTTTGACCAGGACAGTGATATTTTGAAATTTACCTATTTTCCAGAACATTCCAGATATATTCAGTGCTGAGTAAACTTGGAATAACTTCTAGAACATTCTAGAACCTTCCAAAAATATAAATAGTAGTGTAGCGGTACGTAACACAACACAATCTACACTCGGGTCTCGAATGCCCATCTCACCACGCTACGGCAGAATTGGACAAGGTTCACTATCCCGGTCCGGACCACGAGCTGGGTCCCGGACCGCGTGGCGAGAGGCTTCTTCTCCCCGACGTGGATCTTCTTCACACCGGCACACGAAGAACCTCGACCTCCTCACGGGCGCTCGTTATATGCCCCCGGGCTGGGGCTGGCTCTGCCCTTCGCCCCGCCCACCTTGCAGGTCTCTCGAGCTCCTTCTCGAAGGTTCCCGAGAGCCCTTTTGGACCACGTGACCACCCAGTGGCCCCCGTCCACCGGTGGCCCCCCTCCAATATCATCCGGTCACGTGTCAGCAGGTCAACCAGCGTATCGTGCCCCAAGGTAACCCTGGCTGGCTGACGCTCCCTCTCGCTCCCTCACCGGGAGCCCGCACCGCACACTGCTCGCGGTGCCTCCGCGCTGACCAGCGCTCACCCAAGCCCCGCTAGGGCTGGTACTACACCCCGTAACCCGGGCTGCCCATAATGACAACACATTACCCGCCGTGACTTCGTAAGCCCCGGCACCATACCGTGACAAGCACAGTCACTACAGTAGTGTCAATACAGGGGCCTTAA